GGGATTTGAACACCCAACCTACCACTTGGGGGGTTGACAACCTGACCACTTCACTAGGTCGCCACACCCCTATATAATTCAGATATTTCATAATATCAACAACTAATAGTAAATATGAAAATCTAAGACTAAGTATCATCACTAGTTAGAAAATTAAATATCATTTTTATACTTGTAATTATAGTAATAAATGATATTTGACCAATTTGTGAAACTTGTAAGTTTCATAAAATCTGAATTATATTCTTTGTTATTTTGTATAACTAAATTTCTAATTATTGTTTTTATATTATTAGGTTTTAACTCTAGTAAATATTTAGTTGTAATACAAATTTAAGATATATGTTAATTATGTTTGCATTTAAGTTATATAACTGAACTATTAAGTTTTTGAACTTTACAAATTATATTGTTTTTAGATTATTGTAATTTTTTAAGATTTCATACAAGTTAATTTTACCAAACATAATCACATTTTAACTTACTAAATATTAATAGCTTTATTAATTCTCTTGATATAATTACACCTTATTACCTATTACCATTAAATCAATAGTCTATTACTTTAATAATTTTCAAATTCTTTTTACAAAAAATTTATTTAATTTTTTCTCAATCAATAATACTGCTAATGACTTAAAAGTAAGTTGTAATATTTTAACTTTATATATTGTCGTAAGCCAGAAATTATAGACTCTAAAACTCCCTATTCATAAGGTAGATGAATATCTCTCACGTAACGTTAGACGAATTAGTACTCAAAAGAGGTGTGGGATTTGGGTGAGTACTAAGGGTAAGTGTATCTTTATTTACTATACTGCGAGACCTGTGAGACTTTTTTTTCTTACATTACTAACATATTACTTATATACTTTTCTCTATATGCTAATTATATTAATTATGCTATCTATGATAATTACACTAATTATGCTATTTATGCTAATTACACTAATTACACTAAATATGCTATATTCACTATATCTATTAATTACACTAATTGCACTAAATCTACTAATTACACTAATTACACTACATCTGCTAATTACGCTCTGTATATGTGCTATATCTAATAATTATTGTATATTAATATTTGCTTATGCAATCTAATTTAAATAAAATATTGACGGTCCTTTTTTAGATCGTGACATTTCTCTCCACTTTAATACATTCGTTCCACGAATTTATACCAAGCTTCAGAAATCTTCGGCCTTTATTCTTGCCATTGTGGTTACGTTGATACTCTTTGTACAATAGATTTGGGCAGATCCATAGGCTTTGAACAGCCAAAATGCTCTTGTTGCGGGCATGAAGTAGTGTTTTGTGATCACCTTTCGGTAAAAGGTCTACTGCTTAGGATCTGTCTTGGTCAGCATTTCACCTAGGTAAAAAGCGTGGATTAAACTTTCAGTGTGGTTTTTGAGTTTAACGTTCTTAAGCAATTGCTGATATGTTTTCATTACTTTGTCATCTAGGTTTTCAGCGGGGTGGTATGGTGAGGGCGTAACAACTACATCTTGCGGGGTGGTTGACAGTAGGTCACTGATTATTCTATTGAGAGGTCAAAAAATTCTTTAAAACAGATATGTATAACACATAAGCAATGAAGATAAAGTAAAAAAATTTATCAAAAAATAGAAGAAAAAAAGAATAGACTTTATATAATACAAAAGATAACAAAAAATGAAGAAAATAATTAAAAAGAAAAAAATAAAGTACTAATAAAATGCTAGCAAATACAAAGTGTAGAAAGCAATTTAATAACCAAAATTAGTAAATGCAATAGGTATATAAATGAAAAAAAAGCAATAGAAAACAGCTGTCAGTATTGAATAAGAATAAATAACAATATAAAAGTAATCTCAGACATACTAATAAAAAAAAGTAACAATATAATTAAAATAGCAACAGACTAATTAATAGAGCATATAAGAGCAAAAGAGTTAAAAAAAAGTAAACAGAAGCTAACAGAACTTAGAATGCTATAAAGCAAGAAATAGAGTTAGTTACAAAGCAAAAGCTAAGAAAAAACATTATTTAAGAAATAGTAGAAACTTTAAAGAGGAATGTATTAAAAAACAAGAACAAATATATAATATATACTGATAGTGCAGCAAATAGACAAAATAAAGAAAATATAGTAGATAGAAACATGAATATAAAATGGGTTCAAATAAGTGAAATACAAGATTGGTTAAAAAAATAGATAGTATTAAAAATAAAAAGGTGGTTAATATTAATAACAACTAAGTTATTAGCAATATAAACAGTAATTTTAATTATACTAAAAATGAAAAAACTAGAAATATTTATAAACAATAATACTGCAATTAGAAACATCAATAAAGAATTAAAATGTACAAATAGAAATAGAATCTTCAAGAGAAAAAATGTTTATGAATAATAAAGATAATCAATCTAATTAAACATAAAACATACAGATAGAGTAGTTTAAAATAAAAAGTTACAAAAAAAACAAGTAAAATAATAAAGCTAACAGTCTTATGAAGAAAGGAATATTAAGTAGAAAGATAATAGACATAAAAGAAGTCAGATATAAAAAGATAAAATATTGACTAAAATAGAAAAACAAATAAATACACATATTAGCAAGATTTTTATATAAGCTAGTAACAAATGCCAAGCTAGGTGCATAATAGAAAGAAACAATAATGATTAAGAATTTAGAAACTGTAACAGAAATAATAATTTATAATTAGATGTATTTTTGAAAAAAACTGAAATCAACCAAAAGAATACATTATATAATAAGGAAGAGCAGCATAAGAAGAAGCATTTTAATAAAATATATATTAGATAAACTTTTAATAATGAAAAAACTTAATAAAAGAAGACCAGAACTATATCTGAATATAAAATACCAAGTATGTTAAAGCAAAGTTAAAGAAACACAAGAGTATCTGGTGTCATGCAAGGAACAAGTAAGTCTTTAAAAAAGAATACAAAAAATATCTATTGCAACAGTATAGAAAGAATTAAAAAAAAACTCAGAATCTTATATAATATATTATATATAATACTTTTTAAAAAAACAGAAACAGAAAAAATAAAAATAAGAAAAATACTAATCAAAGATCCAATTCTAAAAATAACTCAAAACAAATTAGCACAACTTCTAAATACAAGAATAAGACAACAATTTATAAATATATTAGCAGAAACAATTAAAAATACTTTTTATGAACAAGTCTAGAGAACATAATGCAAAAAAAAGTCAATAAATAAGAAAGAAAAACAAGAATAACTAGCAAAATAAAGAAAGGAACTCAAAAGAAGAAGAACCTAAATAAAATAAAAAACTAGTTAATAAGAAATAGAAAAAGAAAAAAAAAATAAAAAAAAATTGAAAATAAAGCTAAGAAGACAATTTTGAAGCTTGTTATAGAAAAGAAAAGACTCTTTTATTATGGACTTTAAGTAATAAATAAACAGCTTACTTCTGTTTGAAATAATGTGACAGGTTGCACTTAGATACTATTAGAGTAGCTGGGTAATGCTAGACTTAATTGTTAGGTAAATCTATATAATTGCAATAGTAATTTCAAAAATCTTAATAAAATACTAGCATGACTGCTTAAGAAAAAAAAAAATTAAAAAGAAAATAAATATTTTTGGTATCTTAAACATTTTAATAAGCTTTTATTAATATTATCCATATTGTAAGAGAAAATAAAAATAATTTTGTAATAATAAAATTATAATTATTAAAGGTAGAGAGTAATATATTGAAATTATATATAAACTCAATGGTAAAATTTTTTTATATTTAATTTTATAAAAA